TGCTTGCTGCCTGTATACTAGCCGTTAGTTCCCTCCTAACAAAGATAGCCTGTTAAATCAAAGGGAAAAGTCTCATTTATGCCTATGCTTAGAGTCTAAAGTTCAAACGTGCTCAGTTGATGAGAAACCTTACCGTTTTTTCACTGGACAGGTCAAGAATTTCCGAACTTTCCTCAAACATGGAATTTATGCGGATACACGTGGACTGCCAGCCCTCAGATCCGCCCCAAGTTCTTTTAAAACTGAACTCCTCTATCTGGGATGAACAACACAGAGCTATAGTTTGTCTTCTGCAAGCGACCGAAACATCCGACTACGAAGACGAACTGGCTAATGCGTGGCTTCAGAATTGGACCGACGCACAGATCCAGAGTCTTCTTCAGAGCCTTGCGGTTGCGGTTACAAACCTTCGTTCGCAGGTGAGCTTTTATATCCTAAATGATGCAGTAGTACAGGCTGCTGTGAATAGTAGTATTAACTTCACAGATATTCGTGTTTCTTAACTAAACTGTGCAGTACCTGCCTCGCCAAAATGTTCTAACTCTAGTTAATGCTCTGCGCAGGTGTCTCGGGCGGCCATACACTTGGTGCGAAATCTAAGTCATCGCCTCAGCAACAAACCTCTGGAAACCGAGTCATTTCGGTTGATTCCCGCCTTACTTTCTCGAATTGGTGGCGACTCAAGCACTGCCTTCATCCGCACCGAAGCACACGACTGTCTGTTTGTGCTGATTGGAAGGATTAATCCCCTCTGTGCAGTGGGATGCCTAAACACGGCCGTGAACTCTGGCCACGGACGCAGTTCAATGGGCAGAAATGCCATTGCCGCGGCTCTCGCTGCAGTGCTTCCCAGCCTTGTTGGCCTTGAAGGCTGGCAGCAACCAGGAGGTGGACCAATCGAATCCATTCGCACCACGACGGACCTAAGAGGCAAGCGGAAAGAGTACTTTGACCGATTGCTCAAGAATGTGGCAATATTTCTCGCCGATGGAAATCAGGAGACCCGGTAATTATATTCTGTTATTTAATTTGATTACAAGTAATTACTAGACATGTATACACTTGAGCTATGAAGGCCCGTCGGAATATCGAGTTTTACGCGTGAATTTTCAAGTTGGTCACACTAAGCCATTGTCGGACGAAATGATAAATGGGGGCTGGGATTAATACAGGGTTCAGCAACCTTTTTAAATCAGAGAGCCATGAAAGTAAATATTTGGCAGCATATTTCAGTGAGAGCCATTTAATATTTTTTAAGATTAAATTCAATGAAATGTGAGTATAAAAGCCTCTGGATTTATTCTTTTGAATAATGTTCTTATAATACTAATTGTTAATGCGATTTCTGATGCTGAATGAATTCGCTGATGGCTTTGTAGTCTGGTTGGTAGTTGGTGAGACTAAGCATCATGTAAGCGTTGAGGCTTTCATCCGTGATCGTAGGGTAGACTTGATGATGTGAGAATGACTGTTCACATGCATATGTAGATCCAAACAGGGTCAATACAGCACAATACTCACACGCTGCAGTGTGTGGTATGTGACTGGAAGCGTGTTCCAAGTTTTGATTATCAGCTAGTCTTCGGGTTTAAGTATTTTTAATTTATGTCCAGATGTGTTGGCTTGCCAACTCCGCTTTATGTCGTGCAATTGGACTGTTTGCTTGCGTGTGCTAAATACGTCCGTCTGGGAGATACAAAGACAGGAGCTGTAGGTGACAAGGCAGGCTGGCCTATGCGCGTTAGGTAGCCTTGTCTGCCAGCATGACCTTGACTCAGCTGAGGTCAAGTCTGGAGGATGTCGTGCTTCAATAGAGCGTCAGATATTTAGCG